CAAATTACCAGATTGCTGAAATCGCCTGAGGTATGCCTTAGGCCTTAGATACGATATACTATAGTATTTTTGAACAGGATCAGTAGCAAGCGGACCATGCTTTTATTTGGTCGTAGCTACTCAGTACTATGCTATCAGTCCTTTATCAAGTCTCTCGTTGTCGTACATAGCATTGAGCATTTTGTGCCGTTGAAATTTATGCAAAATCTCGTACTATTACTGAATAGCCTAACTATGCGACAACCATTTTCCGAGTTGAACGATTACAATGGCGCAATTATAGATTCAAATTCTGACGACTGTCCTTCCAAATGCAAAGCAGGAAGCTGAGAATTGTGACAAAATTTGGCGCAATGCTACAGACTACGATACCTACATGGCTTATGTGTCGTGCGTAAAGCAAGCACTCGGTGCAACGAGAATGTGGCCAGGAAAGCTTAGAATCTATAGGAGAGCACATGGCTGGGTACGCGACGGATTCTTTACAACCGACAAGTAAGTTTTCGGGGATTCGGGGTCAGGCCAGACTGCGCGGCATATGCGACGCATCGTCTGCTAGCTTGCTTTGAAGTGGGAGGAGCATGCCGACGTACACGCATTGCGGTTTTTGATAGCAGGAAAGTACAAATAAACGATGCTCTAAAACGGAAGTTTATCGGTAGATCAGTTGACTGCAGTGATCGGCCTACTCCATGACAAGCCAGCGCCCTATATGCACACTGCTCAAAAATATGGGGCATACGTTGCGTTCGTCGAGTACGCGCGCACGCCGCGCAGTCTGGCCCAACCCTTTGTTCAAACCAACTGCAGCTTTCAGGTGGTGCGACTACGACTTCATGCTACACGGATGGAAACTTCAAACCGTAGGTGATGAAGGGTGGGAAAGTCCTTTCAGAAAAAATCTTGATCCCTCAAAATGTGGAAACGGCACAAAAGGCTGGGACTGGATACCCACAAAACATGTGAATGTCACTGTAATCAAGTAAGTAGAACGCGAGAAGTAACATCCAAGGGGCATTTATTTCTACAGAAACGAGCTTGCTCCTATCGAGAAAAATGCTGGCGATACATTTCCAAATGCAGCAAGGGGTCTTGTGTATCTCGCTATGCCGGACGTTGGCAAATGCTATCCAGACTGTGACAAGGACTTATAAGCGTCGAACAAACGGCACTTCATCACAGACTCCGGTTTCCTAACATACAGATTCTTGACCCCACTGCCTTGCACTCTGCTATGAAGATGGTGTCAGATTGTCAGTTTCTTATGAGTCCACATAACAGCAGTTAACGGCCATGAATGTGTTTGAATTTTTATTACCATAATTCGATTTCTGTGACCTGACTTTTGTTGTTTTATCATTGTTATGATTGCTCCAACATTTCGGGTATACACTGTATGTTCAATATCGCTAAGGATTCACATTTTGACGACATCATGTCAGACGAGAGTTACAAATGAGATTATGACCTATTACAAACACTGAAGCAGCAGTTACAAAAGTTCAATGTTAGCAGCTTTCTATGTAGATCAAACAATGACAAGTGAAATTGTAGGGCGTTCAAGATGTACAGTCTGTCCAATTGGGATCAGGCCAAGCCGTAGGGTGAATTGCGGACTCGCAGCGTTAGAGGTTCGCGATGCATATGCGCACTGTTGGAGAGAGCGAAGAGATTGAAGAAAGTGCAGATAAACAGGCCGTAGGCATGACGAAAAACCCCCCTAGCGACGCGGACCCCCGCCATGCCAGTTTTGGACTGATCAAGGATCAGATTGTACTTTTACTGCGAATTTTATACCCGCTGTACCCACGAGCTCTAAACAGCGAGTCCGCCTACTGCTCACAGTAATTGAGAGAGATATGAAAGCGCGTCAGCTGAGGGTTGGGCCAGAATGCGCGAGGTGACGTGTGCAGCGTACGCTCGGTATGTTTCATCAGAGGAGGGTACGCGGCGTACGCAGCGTATGTCGCGCACGTCGCAGTTTGATCCAACCCTGATCGTGAGCGTGGGGAAGGGCACAAAGCTTTGATTGTGAGCTATGGTTAGAAAATGCAGAAAACGCATTTGCGAACGCGGTGCAGCCTCAAGCGACGTGGCCGCGCAGGATTTCGCAGGACTCTAGACCCATTCTAAATGAGATAGAGTGAGACAAAGGGTACTTTTACGAGGATTAGGCGAATGTGGGATGGCGCATTCCACTTCACAAGCCTTGGCGCTATCGTGATGGTAGCTGCACAGAATCGTAATGGACTCTTGTTTGCTCTTCATTTCCTGGCTGTGAAGTGTCGCAAAGGCGAACACAGCGTTCTAACTTGTGTGCTTCGGTCCCCGCTAACATCACTGTTAGTCTTCGTTGGGCCGGGTCTTTGCTGATCCGTAAGTTCGGG